ATTATCTGCAATCAAAGATAATGATGGTCAGGTTCCGGTAGGTGATGATGTTTCATATGCAAATGCTATAGGAAGCATTATGTATGCAATGACGGGTACGAGATGTGATATGGCTTACTCAGTGGGATTAGTAAGTCGTTTCATGGGCAATCCGAGTTTTGATCATTGGTCAGCTGTAAAATGGGTTTTGCGATATCTAAAAGGAACTTTAGATATGAAGTTAGTATTCAGAAAGGCAGAGAAGTTTGTTGTTGAGGGATTCTGTGACTCAGATTTCTCGTCAGATCTCGATAGAAGAAGGTCGATTTCTGGTTATGTGTTTACAGCAGGAGGAAGTGCTATATGTTGGAGGTCTGGTTTACAAGATATAGTAGCTCTGTCAACTACATAAGCTGAATATATGGCGTTGGTTGAGGCAGTGAAAGAAATTATTTGGCTCAAAGGTCTTATAGCTGAATTTGGTTTTGAGCAGAAGAGCATAAATGTGTGGTGTGATTCGCAGAGTGCTCGTTGTCTTGCCAAGAACGTCCATCATGAAAGGACGAAACATGTCAGTAGAAAGTTGCATTTCATAAGGGATGTGATTGAAAAAGGAGATGTGAAGGTGTTGAAGATTCACACGCTGAAAAACCCTACTGATATGTTGACAAAGGTTTTGCCTGTTGAAAAGTTTGAGAAGGCTTTAAGCGTTCTTGGAGTAGCAAGACACTAAGGTGTGTGCTACGGCTATGGGAGTGCATATGTTTGCCGTATTAAGGAGCTAAGTCAGATTGATCTCATCAAGGTGGGGTTTTGTAGTACTTTGGTGATGATAATCAATTCTGGTTATCTTAAACCAAGACGGGTATGTCAATTGAGCCGGCTGGATTGAAGTGGAGGTTATCCAGTTTAGTTAAGGTGGTTAGGCTCATGGTTTATGATTAGTGTTATCAGCTTAATAAGTGTAATTAGTCTCTGGTATATAAAGGGTATATGTGGTGTTGTCCCCCCCTCTCTTATGAGCTACATTCTAGAGTAAACAAGAGGGGGATTATTCGATTCTTGTTCTAAGAGAAAGATAGTGAATTGCTGAGTTCATATCAGCACCGAGACGTAGGGTTTTTATTCTTAGGAGGGCCTGAACTCATATAACTCTTGTGTGTCATCTTCTTCTCTGTTTTTCCTCTGTTTCTTTGTGAATCTTCGAGTATCGATCCTAACAAAACCTTTGACAATGGATTCCTTTGGAGATGTGGTAATAAACATCTGTCACTTTTCCTTAGTACATTTAATATAATGTTTTTTCACTTATTGAGATATAAAAAGAGTAGGTGATCTTGTGTGTCCTTAATATTGTGTCTAGTTCTTTTGTTTAACATTGTTGTTTGTTCCAAGGTACGACACAGTGAGCAGCATATTTTGTTGAAGCAGCAAACATTTGCTAGAAAAATCAACAATGTTTTGAGGCTTGAAAAATAATAATATTTTGGGGAGAAGAAGACCCAAACAAATTTTGGTTATTTTTATTAAATGGATTTTTGTATTCCAATAAATATTTTCTTACTACGTTAACACAAACACAGTGGTACATTTGGTTCTGTGGTGACATTTTTTTATGCTGTTCCAAAATTCCGAGTGAGCCTGATTCAGTGTCGTCATACCTTTGTATTACACTTGGACTATGTCATTTGAAGAGGATCTAGTGAAACATCAGATTCTTGTTAGACGATTGTGGAAGGATTATAATTTATAAGAGCATGAATATATACAACAGAGATGGAGATCAACGTTTTATAAGGCCATTGTTAGACGATTGTGGAAGTGCTGAATTAATATTTCTCTTTATTTAATAAATGAAAATAAATAATTGTTGAAAAAATCATGAAAAGAACGTTTTGAAAATGAAAAGCAAATTTTCAGAAATAAAAATCAGAGCAGCTTAGGAACAAGAATAGCGCGGCTGCTCCTGCTGCAGCAAACTCTCACCGCTAACGCTACTCCTACTCCTAGACGCTATAACCTCATCTAGCGACAACCGCATCCTCTCAGACCGCTGATGCGGTGCGCTATGCGAACGCACCTTTGCCTTAAACGACTGCGTTTTCTCCATGTAGCCAGGAGTACTCATTCCATACTCACACAGAGCGTTTCCGCAAACACTCTTACCTGGAGACTGCATTACATAGTAGCGATTATTAGCCGAGTGGCTGTGCAATGAAGATGATAACCTAGGCGTCCTCGCAAACTTCCACTTCTCCTTGGGTAGATTCAACTCCAAATCATTCCTTTGGTAAACAAAACCGTCTTCATATTCAGACATTGAATCAACATTGTGCTTTTGGCTAGACTTAGATCTCCTCTTGAATGCGTCATCGTGCGCTACTTCAGCCTATCAATATCAGAAACAGAGAGAACACTTAGGTCATGTTTTTGGCTTAAAGAACAAGAAGTAGCAGAAGTGTTAACTGTTTCATTACAAGAGAATGTGGAGGATGAAACATGTTGCTGTACTCTTTGTTGAGGCGGCGACTGCGTTTAGACCGCATAACGGTTTGGACTCTAATCAAAGTTTGCATGTTACGCAGCATTACAGCAGCGCGTTTCCTAACCAAGTTTCCTCTCACTAGAGCTTGTAGCTTTACTATACCTTTCAATGCACGTAAAGCTTTCCTCGCCTAACCATAGTAAACAACAAATTCAAAATCGATAATTGTTCTAATCAAAGTTTATTGTTATCGATTGCCAACACCTCTAATCTTTGTAGAAAAAAAATAAAATAAACGTGTTGAAGATGCGGAAATTTACCAAAGAACCCCTGAAGACTTTTTGGATTTTCACAACGGCCCAACGCTCGTCCCTCGTGATGATATCTCCTGTGACCACTGACTCAGCCGCTTTAGCTGCTGAAACCGCTACTTCTGCAGTTGTGGTCGCAAAAGCAATTGCTTGTTTGTTCTGTTCTTTCTCTGAATCAGAAACGGGGCTCTTCTTGGTGCCAAAAAATCTCTTAAACCATCTCGTCGCTCGTCCCATCTCAATATGGAACTGAAAGAACCAAAAAGTACTCTCTTTCTTGTAACCTGTTGTTGTGTGACGATTCAGAAATTTTTTTGTAAGAATAACAGTATTCAGAGTTTACCCAATTATGAATTGTATTTGTAGCAATGTGTTAGGCCATCACATTTATTTTAATTACACTAATTAAGTCTTTCCCTTTTACATTCCATTTTTAAATTAAATGGAATTAAAAAGCACTAATTATGATAAGATATTTTTCTTCTTAATGGTTAAAACATAAATAATGACACTGATTAATCAGTTTAAATAGGGTAATGGACCGTTTCTATAATACCTTTTTGAATTCTTGAATAGTCAATGGCATTCTATGTTCTTCTGATTCATAAAAGTTCAATAATTAACCGATTTAATTTTAAAGTATTAAAGTTAGAAACGTTTATTCAAATAATATTGTAATTTTGAATCTAATCGCCTTCTATTGACATTATTTACAATTCGACCATATTGCATTAGAGTTAGCCTGTCTCGCTTATTATTTTTCTCTCAGATAATTCTTTTCACTGCAAATGAAGTGTTCATATGATATAGGGATGGGACAGATCCGGATATCCGAGAAATTTGAAGTATCCGGATTTGTCGGATCCCTGATTTTAGTATTTGGATGCGGATTCGTTTCTTCCGGATATCCGGACTCCAAATATCGGTCTAGATATTGTGATATCCGCGGGTATCCGGATTCGGATCCGTAAAAATTAATAAAAAATTAATTAAAAATCAAAAAAAATTAAAATAATACATAAACTAAATATTTAAGCATAATTTATGAATAAATATATGACATATAATATTATTAATATAAAAGTAGAATATTATTAAATTTGTTTTATGTATAAATATTAATATATCAGATATAATTAATAATAAAATAAAAAATTTAATATATTTTTTAAAATACGGATCCGAAGCCGGATATCCGGATCTAAAAACGAAGATATTCGGATCCGGATTCGGTTTGCACGGATCCAAAATTTTACTATTCAGATTTGGATCCGGGCACTTCTAAATATCCTAAATTTGAAGCGGATCTGGAGCGGATCTCGGATGAAATCCGGATCCCGGACCAAAATCTCAGCCCTAATATGAGATAAGCATGACTTCATCTCTGATCAGGAATATCAATTTTGTTTTCTGAACAACTAATCAGAAATATCACTAAGAGGTCAGGAAAACAAAGTCAGCTATTATATCAATGTAGTTAGACTACAAAAGGCAACAGAAAAAGTAACTAGTCTCGTATTGCTGCTTTGAATAGTTAGGCAAGTCTCTCCACAACGAAAAAGACTCTTCACTGCATTCAGCTTCGTCTATTTTATGTCTCTTTCACAAAATTCCCATATCCACCAATATTTCTTCAAACGAATTGATTATATGTATGTATTACAAAAAAAAAAAAAATTGCCCTTTAACTTGCATCTCTACATTAAGAAATGTAAGATTTTAGATTAACATACATGAAAGTATGCAACAACCTTAATCATCAGTCTTTATTAGCCTAACCAAGTATTTAGATCTTTAAACATAAGATGATATTCTATCTATGTTTTATCTAGTGTTACATTATTACATATGTAATTTTGTTGGCTTAAACAAATATGTTAAGATATGTGACTAGAAACTGGTTTACGAAAACTGGTTTACGAAATCTGTCGTTAAAAGAAAAGTTGGTACATGTTTAAAACCTCACACACTCATAGTTTATTACAAATGACAATAGCCAAAGCAGAGTTGATGAAACAAAGCTAAAGAGCTTTTGCAAAGAAGAATCTGTTTCTTTTCCTCTTTCCAAAAAGATGCTTTGCAGAAATAGGTAGCTATAATAATTTAACAAAATTGATGTTCTTAGAGTTTTCATTAAGTGTGGCTAATCATCATCTAAAGGTTTAAACATAAGAGACTATAATGACAAAGAATCTATAATATACTCAAGAACCAAAATCATATTTTTCATTGTCTGATCTTGAGTTCCAATAAAACTCATCTATGAAATTCTCAAAAGTCAAAGAGAACATGTAACAAACCAGAATGTACATCAGACTTGAATTAGAAACACTTTTCAAAGACCAAAACTCATTAGAGTAAAAAGCGCAAAAGCAAAATAACATCACTACTTCTTTAAAGCTGTATAAGTTCTTTCTTCAGCTTCTCATCTTCTCTTGCTTCCCATTTCCACCTGCAAAATTAAAAGTTCTATAATTTCAGATAGGAGTCATATGACAAGTTAAAAATGTTTTCAAGTGGAAAAAAACATACTTACATGTTAATGCTGAAGAAATCTCAGAGGTTTTGATCACACGCAGTCTTTTAACGGAAGACACAAACATACTGTCAAACAAAACAAAAGTCAACAAACATAAGCTTTACCAAACAAAGATTCTTTAGTTGACCAAAGAAGGATTAGATAATTGTAAATACAGGACTAGGAATCTAATTCTTCTTCTTTTGATAGTGCAAAAACAACTAAATCAGATTTAGAAAAAGTAAGAAAAGATTCTTACTGCCATGGGACATCTCCTACAAGCATCTTGTCTCCTTCATTGTCCTCATAAGTAAGAGTATATTCTCCATTCCCATCCAATAATCCACTGATTGGTTTCTCCTCTTTTTCAAATGATAATGATTCTCTTTGAGCTAATAACATCAGACAAAAAAAAAAAACATTAATCACAAAAGAGCTCTCTATGTTTTGATAAAGAAAGTCAAAGAACAAATTTACCTGCAAGAAGACCCCTAAAGAGCTTATCGACCGTGAGAGATAACTGCTCATAGCTATTATGCGCACTGAGATCGACTTTACGACCAATGGGAACACCATACATGTTGATCTTCACGAACGATCCTCCTTGCCTCTTTGGTTCCATTGTCTTTCCTTGGCCATAATCATCATCAAACGTCTGATTCTTGATGACAAGAACATTGGAAGTGGAGTCTTTTCCAAGCTTCGAAGAGCTTCCATTTGCTAAATTCTTTCTGAATGATCTAACCGGAGGCCAACCCACCACTGGACCAGGAGCAGTTCTGTAAATAAATAACATCACAGAAGTGAAAAAAAAAAGACTTTTTAATAAAACACATAAACAGAGCAGATAATGAAAAGATTCTTAAGATGATTAAAAAGGTGAAACAGAGCAAATGCTGTGAATAATCCCAAAAATAATAAAACAAAGGCTGTAAAAAAATATTGAAACTTGCACATGTGTGAATAATCTTCAGAAAACATGAAATAATATTTATTTATTTTTGCAGAAGATGGGACCATTAATGTTTAACTTCAAGTGAATATCATCATGTCAAAAGGATAGAAAACAGAAGTGAGAGAAGTAAACCTTTTCTGAGATGTTGTTTTGTTGGTGGTGGGAGAAGGAGAGAAGTGGTTGCCAGAGAGAGAGAGGATAGATTTGTCTTTTGGTTCTTTCTTGATGTGTCTTATCATCGGTGAACCATCTTCGTCTTCTTCACCAGGTGGTCCTAGCTTTAGCTCAAGTTTCTTCTCTTCTGTGTGGTAAGCAGAGGCTTTCTCATCATGAAACAAGTTTCTTCTCCCTTCTGGAATCAAATGGAGCAGCTTTGGTGATATTTCACCATTTCTTGAAGAATCCTCCATTAGGTTTTTGAGAGAAAGTTACGTTCTTTGACCGAAGGAAATAGATTTAGACAAGCAAATAACTGTGTCTTTTGTTTCTGTCAAGAGCAAAGAGAAACTCTCTGCCAACTCTCAAAACCCTTTAAAACAAAGGAGAGAGAGGAGATGAAATGGTGTGAGAAGCTGGAGAGGTGGATTAGTGTGTTTTTTATACAAATCAAAGCTTTGCTTTTGTACAAAAAATTAAAAAGATAACTTTTTGGTGGGTTACTACTCTCTTCTTTTCTCACCACATACACTCCCTTTATTTCACTTTATTCTCTCTCTCTCTCTAGATTCCCGAAAGGGAGAGGAGATTTTTGGGAATACGGCGAAAAGAGGGAACAGAAGCAAAGTCAGAATTATACGGAAGGAGAGACAGTGAATTAAACCAGAGGAAAAGCAAAAGGGATCTAACCGTGACATTAATAAATGGTAAAGACCAAGAAAAAGAATTAAGTAAAAAAATAAAATTATTGGTGTGAAACACACGCAATCCTCTTCTCTCTCTCTTAAAGAACCGTAGAGTGGCTAACCTGCTGCTTTGTTTAAACCCTATTAGAGTATAGGCATCTTTTTATCACCCCCTCTTCTTTTCTACTACATTTTATATATTTGGATTTTTAACATAAAACCCCTCCCCCAACTAAGTTTGTTTTGGATAAAAACCTTTAAACTAAGTATTTAATGAAAAAATCTCCAAACTATCTTTATTTAGTGAATTAAACTCTCGTCAGTCATAATTACCAGTGCTACCGGTAAATTTTTAGTTTAGGGGTTTTATCATTAAACATAAAAAATAAAAAAAATAAAAAAATCAAAATATAATAACATTATCTAAAAATTCGTAATTTTAATTTTCAAAACTAGCATTTTAAAATTTTTTGTAAATATAAGCGTGATTTCTTATCCTTGTAAAATGGATTTTTAACCTAAAATACCTTAACTACGTTTTTTGGGTAAAACCCCTCAAACTAACAAATAACCCCCATATTAAAGATAGTTGAAGGGTTTTTATCGTTAAAAATCTAAAAAAAAAATTATAACATTATGTAAAAATTAGTAACTTAAATTTTTAAAATTAGCATTTTTCAAACTTTCTGTAAATATATGAGTTTGATTTGTTTTAACATCAACATTATATATATATATATAGATTAAAATTTTAAAACACGAAAATATAATAAAAATCATCTAAAGATTTATTATTACATTTTTTCTTAAATAAAATATAATTTTTATTCTGTTTTCTTGTTTTTATATTTATAACTTTTGATAATTTTTATTACAGGTAAATCTTTAGATAATTTTTGTTATATTTTCTTGGTTTTTACATTTTAAATTTATACATATATAATTTTGATTTTAAAAGGATAACAAATCAGACTCATATAGTTACATAAATTTTTTTTAATGCAAGTTTTGAAAATTAAAATTATGAATTTTTAGATAATGTTATTATATTTTGAATTTTATTGATTTTTATGTTTAATGATAAAACCTCTAAACTGAAGATTTACTTGTAGTACATGTAATTATGACCGGCGAGGGTTTAATTCACTAAATAAAATTAGTCTAGGGATTTTTTTATTAAATACTTAGTTTAGGGGTTTTTACTCAAAACAAACTTAGTTGAGAGGTTTTTATGTTAAAAATCCTATATATTTATATGAGTAAATAAAAATGAAAAAAGAGGTTAAAATGCAAGTAGACCTAAGCCAATACGTTATACGTCTGAATACTGATGGTGAGTATGAACAAGGATGATTCTACGAATTTCTCTGGTCTGTTCGGATCACATTCCTATCCACTGTCAAATGAAACTTACACATAGTCCTTTGTTTCCGAACGCTAAATAAATTTGGACATTTTATTCATGAAACCATTCTCTCAGAGCATCTCCAACCCCACTCCATAATTTACTGCAAAATGGAGTGGGAAATGGAGTAATGAACAAACAAAAAAGTGATTACTCTATAAATGGAGTAACCATTTTTTTGTTTATTCACTACTGCATATCCCACTCCATTTTGCAGTAAAATTATGGAGTGTAGTTGGAGATGCTCTCAGTCTCATTTTCTTGTATTAATTTTCTAATTTTCTTTCATTGTAGTTTTTTTAACAAAAGGGCTCTCTAGTTGAGAAATTTTCAACTTTAATAACAACTAGTGTTGTGGCCCATGCTATGCATGGGCATAATGATGTTTAGTGCTATTCCAATTTAAATTGGAGCTAAGCAAAAAGATGTAAGGATGACTCTAAATGACTTTTTGATTACAATATTATTAACTATAACAAAACATAGATAGGTTTAAATATTATGAATAAAAAATAAATGTAGTAAATTTTGCTTGCATTCTCAATTTGCAACAACCACCAAAAGAAAATCCAGTTTTTAAAAGATACTAGGTGATTTTCCCGTGCTCATACATGAGTATGAATATTTATAAAAGTAAAATTTTATAATAATTGATTGATATTTAATTTTATTTTTGAATCAATTTATATGTATAATTTATATTAATAAATATTATATTATTATAATTATACATAATGACTTTGGATATATTACTGTCGGTTTCATTATTTTTTGGATCAATAGTCGGTATATTTCCTTTTTATTATATATGTTAATTGGAAAAAGTAAAAAAGAAATTACATAAAAAATTAATAATAATCTTAAAATATAAAAATTCATTTAGGAAATTTATGTAATTAGCCATCGCGAGAGTTAACGTGAGCGCGACACGTAGGAAACTTACTTCGGTATGAATATTCATAAAATTAAAATTTTATAATAATTGATTGATATTTAGTTTTAGTTTTGAATCAATTTATATGTATAATTTATATTATTAAATATTATATTATTATAATATACATATGAATTTGGATATATTATTGTCAGTTTAATTATTTTTTAGATTAATAGTCGGTTTGGTTATCAATTTGGTATATTGGATAATATCTATTTTTCGAATTTAGCTATAATATTTTTTATTCTAAATATAATAAAACTTTTATTAATTTTCTTATTTGCATTCGGTTGGTTATTGTCTTTGATATGTGCATATATTCTTAGATATGTAAATATATTATAGTTAAATTATGTATAACTTAATATATATTGTGCTTAAAATGAAATAAATAATAAGCTGAAGTGTTTGATTCAAAATTACATAAATGAATATAATGATCATATTTTGAAGTCTCATGCATATATATAAATTCTACAAAATAATTAAATTGTAATTGGTTAATATTTTCCCTTTTTATATGTATAAAATGAAATAAATTATTATTATTATTATTATTATTATTATTATAAAATTATATGTTCTTATTTTAGTTAGATGTTTAATTTTTAATATAAATTAGATTAGTCGAGTCATGCATGTTGTGAGTATATTGGGTTAAATATATTTTTTAAAATTAAAATTGAAGAATATTTTATTTTAGTTAAGTAAAATCAAATTAGTTATTTTATCGGTTAAATATTCATGTATTTCATAATATTTATTTACTCCTTATTTTAGTTAAGTCAAATCAAATTATTTTTATTTATCGCTTAAATATACATGTATTTTCATAATATTTATCAAATTATATGTTGATTTCTAAAAAATATTATAAAATAAAAGTGTAACTGATAAATTTTTGGATGTTCATAAACATATATATTTTTATTATTTTGAAAATATATTTTATGTTACTTAAAAATATATATTAATGTGAGTATTACTAATTTGTGAACTTTCCTTTTTAATAAATTCATATTATATACATATATTTTCGTTTTAAAATTTGTTTTAAAATTTTAGAATTATTTATTTTTTGTTATATATGTTATTTGGAAAAAGTAAAAAAAATATTAATAATAATCTTAAAATCTAACAATTCATCAAGGGTATCTATGTAATCAACCATCGCGAGATTAACGTGAGCGCGAAACTGACTTGTCAAATAATATTATAGAGATAAATTATTTAAATAATGAAAAACTGACAAAGGATCTTGCATAAAAACGTAAAAATATGCCTTTTCTTAGTTTTTCTAGGATCTTTTTTTTCTAATTTGTTAGCAAGAACAAAAAAAACATAATTTTCGAGATGTTATTGAACTTATTAGCTTTTCATCCATTTTCTATTAAAGATATTAGCTTTTTCATCCCCAAATTCATGAACTTCTACTCAAATCACATTGAACTTTGATATTCTCGGTCTACTAATGCGCTAACCTTTTCAACAAAGGAGTATCAAAGAATAAAAATGAAGTAAATAACAGAAAAACTTAAATATCCAAAAGTGCTTAAACTGGAGTAAAGATCAAAAAAATAAAGCAAACACACGTAAGAACCTGGTCTGAGAACAATGCTTACACTCGAAAAGCTGTTGAGGGAATGATGAGTAAGAAATCTAATACTCATTTGTCTTGTCTGTGAAGTTAAAAGAAAAACTGTTGATAGAAATATATAATCACAGTTCAGTAGAAGAGAGTGATAAAAATTCTTACCCCATAGCAAAAATAAATTATTTTCTTGTTAAGTTAACATTATCGCATATCTATCATACCCAGAAAATTGTTGGATCCTTTTAGCAGATGGTGATTTGTTTGCACAATATAAAGGATCAGCGTAAACATTGTTGGTGGTTTCAAAGTAAAACGGTTATGGTTACTAATAGTTAGGATTGTGATATAGTGGTTAACAGAAAGAGCTATGGAGATAGTGGAAGCCGAATGAGTTTTCATAACTCCTTTTTCAACATAGATCGAAGCGAGCAAAGACACTATCAGGGCGTCACCATGTGGTTCACCTATAACGGTCTTCGGTCTCGGATGCTACAGTCCATATGTGAATTCCGCAGTGGCCAAGGCTCAACATTTGATTTGAAAAGTAATACAGAAAACAGCTTAATAATGATACGCTGAAAATACTGAAAAAAATAGAAATTTAGGCAGTTAGAATTACGGAAAAATAGGAG